AGAAAAAGCTCTACCCCAAACCCTGGCTTAGGGAATGTGGTGTCAGCATCATCGACCTCGATTTATTCGGGGCAGGTCGCTCCATGAGCCAGGCTTCCACTCCGTCACTCCACTCCACGAGCACCACCCAGGCGGACCGCTCCCCTCACGCACCCATGCGGCGCTACCGCTCCAAAAGCGCCCAGGATGGTTCGGCCTCCCCATCCCTCCACACTCTTCAGAACACTGATAGGGCTAGAAGCCGAAGCGCCGGGAGAACTCCCACGCTGCACATACCCACGACGTACACTGTGGACACGCCTCCATGCCATACCATCGGCACCATACGAACCAAAGCGCAGAAGGACAAGGTCCAGAGCAACTCTACCCAACTTCAGGCCTTCCGACCCGATGTCACTCCCTACCTCCTGTGAGGAAGGGAAAAGTCGATACCCGACCCCAAGATGATCAGTGTTGGACCTGTTTCCATTTGCCAGACCCAGGTCCGCATTGAGGCTGGAGCCGACGCTCGTCACAGACTTGTCGTAGCCAAATGCAACCATATGCAGTATCGCCACACTGCAGAGGAAAGAACGGCGAATAGGCAAGCAGCCCGAGTGGGCCAGACCACCCAGATCTATGAGGCTTCCAGCCACATCCCAGCCGACCAACGCATCTGGTCCTGCGCTATTTGCAAAGTCGGACTGCCAGCCATACCAAACCACAACATTAAGAGCGTCCAAGCCCACTTTGCCCTTCACCATCCTGGCATCAGCCCTACCGAGGCGGTGACTGGGCGCAGCCACGCTGAGATTGAGCAAAACAAGGCTAACAAGCTTAACAAACTCAACCGAAGCTCTGACCATAGCATCACTTGCCTCCAGATGGCAACCTCCCCGCCGGAGGACCGACCAGAACAACGCGACACCCTTGGCTTTTGCACCAGATGCCTCAGCGCTGGCACCACGCAGAAGTTTCAGAAAACCCCTTGCTCACCTCAAACTAAGTCGCCCAAAACCACTGTCACGATCCTGCGGCGATACCTGAGCTCCAGCAAGGAGGTTAGCCAGATCAATGCGGATCGTATCAAAAATGCCTTGGCGCTACCCGAGCAAGCTTGGGCTGCAACTGGCATCCTCCCACGCGCCGGTCTCTCTGACCATCGACTTGGGGGATACCGTGGCATCCGGGTCGGCGAAGCTACTAACCCGGGGCCGTGTCACCTTCCTACAGTCACCATGGTCTCCTTAAACTGTCAAGGAGGACCTGGTGTTTGGAGAGCCATGCGCTCCGTACTCCGAGAGGAGAATAGCCCTACCATCCTGGCCCTTCAGGAAGCAACCCTTACCACAAGCGAGGCAACTGCTGTTACTTGCCACCTGGACAACCTGGGCTACCGCTGCTACTACGCTCCTGGCCTCACCACTCGCGACCGGTGGGGCCACTTTCGGGCCCGCGGCGGCTGTCTCACTGCGGTCCACCACCAGCTCCCCCAGCGCTTAGTGGCGAAATCAGAACCGGCCAAATTTCATAATTTCTGGTTGAAATTGACGGCTGGCAACTGCTTAACACCTACGCTCCGCCCAGACCGCACATGGCTCGTCTGGCGGCCGAAGCTGCACAATCCTTGTTCGTCGCTCACCGCACAGCTGCCGGTGGCCGCCCTTGGCTCTGGACTGGCGACTTCAATGAGGACTCGCAGCCAGCCTTCAGCGCTGCGGTTGCTGCTGGTTTCCAAGGGGCGCTGGCGCCTCCATGCTCGGACCTGCCTTCCAGGTGGTCAAATCCGAGAGCGAGAACCTACCTGATATATACCAACCAGCTCAACCTTTGTGAGCCGGTTGAGAAACTTGCTCACATGGTAAGCGACCACATCCCGAAGCAACTCACCTTACACCACAGGTGGAACCATGACAAACAGCGAGGGATCCTTCAACGACGATGCTGAGCAGGTCCTGTCTGAGATGCAGGAACAACTCAATCACAAGGGTTACTTCGGAACCTTGGATTTGAGTCAGGCCTTCGATCGAGTTGACCCGGTTATAGCCGGCCACTGCATGAAAACCCTTGGGTTACACCCCAACTTGCTCCCTCTTGACCTTCCAATGGACCCATCAACAGCGTTGGATGTCCTGGAGTCAATACATTGGTCGAGATCAGGTGCTCACCAGTAAAAGCATTCCCCAAGGCGACCCATGCAGCCATGAACTGTTTGATGTTCCTGGGCTCCATCTTTTTGGGCACCTACCATCAATCGGCGAACCTCAGCCATTTCATCTGGATGGACGATCGCAGCTTCGTGACCAATTCGGCCTCCAGCCTCATTGAGGCCACGGACTGGTGGTCTGCCTTTTCTCAAAGGTATGGTTTAAAGGAAAAGTGGGACAAAGCCCAGCTGGTCCCCGCGAATGCCTATAGGAAGCGAGGCCTTCTTGAATCTCTTGAGGGACATCCCTTGGCTGGAGCGGTTTGCGCTTGCGCCGAGGTCCTTTGGAGGACACGTGGGGAACAAGGGTAGAGGTGCCCGGCCCCTTGAAACGAAGAGGCTCAACGATGCCGCCCTGGTGGCCCGACGCATCGCCCTGTTGCCCCTTCCTAGAGTTGCCAAACTGGAAGCTTGTCGTTCTAGTGTGCTGGCTAAGGCCTCGTACGGTTGGACCCACAGTAAGCCCACCAAACGTGCTTGCAATAAGCTTGACCAGAGTGTTCACCAGGCTGCTGGTGGCTTTAGGGCCAGCCCGCCTGCCTTGCGCAAATGCTTGGAAGGAGGAACCACGCACCTTGAGGTTGTGACTGGAACTGGGCAGCTCCTGCTTTGGGCCAGAAGGTTACGGGGGGTGGCAGGAAGATGAAAACAAGTGGGTTCACCTGATTTTCCGAATCAGGACTTGACCCTTCCTTCGCCGGGAGTTGAGTTCAACTTCAAGAGACTGGCTCACCTTTCCCGTGAAGGGTGAAGATCTAATCAGTGGGCTGCACTGATAGCAGGCGCCGGGAGATCCCTGAACTCCCACAGGATTTCCCTGCTGAACGGGTCACCCGTACTCGTCACCTGCTGCGCCGGGCTAAGGGCCCCCGCCGCTCTTTGCTCCTTGGCGCAGCACCAGCCATGCTCAATGAGGTATGCCCGTGGTGCCCCGCGTTGGGCACATGGCATCACACTGTGTGGGCCTGCGCTTACTCACCCTTTCCCCTTGACTTGGCTCCGCCTCAAGACCCCTTGCTTGCCAGGTGGTTATGGCCTGTAGGACAATCCGCGACCGATACGGCCTACATGAACCACGCCGCACAGGTGTTGAAGCACCTGTGGGATCTCCGGCATAGCGCGCCAGCGGCCTGCTGCTGGAGCGTGACCTACTCGCGCTGCTGCGGCGGCGCGCGGATGCTGCAACTGGCTTCACCGCGGTGGCAGCGGCAACCGAAAACAAACGTTGAATGTGGTAACAGGCGCAGCGCTTTCTGGAGCACGACTCGCAGGAGCCTGATTTGTGTTGAGGCACAGAGTGCCCACTTTGTGGCCGACGCAATTTGTTGTGGGGTCGCGTGTTGAATCTCGTGACAGGCGCAGCACTTTGGAGCACCGCTTGCCGGAGCGCTGATAGATAGAAAGATAGAGAGCCAGATAGATAGACTGATGGTAGCTAGACAGATGAGGGAAAAAAGTGCTATAGATAGATATTTACATAGATAGACACATAGGTATACAGATAAATCAACAGGTAGAAAGAAAGCTAGATGCATAGAACGGTGGGCAGATAGATAGATCGATAGATGGATAGACAGACAGATGGATAGATATACGGGTAGGTACGAAAGATCAGTAGATAGATACGTAAGCAGCTAGGTGGCCAACGGATAGATTCATTATCCGATAGACAGCTTGAAAGATAGACTAGATAGATTCCTAGAGAGAGAGAGAGAGAGAGAGAGAGAGAGAGAGAGAGAAAAAAAAGCCACAGAGAGAGAGAGAGAGAGAGCGAGGGAGAGAGAGGCAGACAGATGGATTGGAGAGACTAGACAGTTTAAAAAGATAAGTAGATAGATGGTAGATAGAGATTAGACTGGAAAGGGTAGATAGGATTTCAGACGAGATTTGATCAGATTCGGTCAGATTAGATCGGATTAGAGTGGATAGAGGCAAGTAGGTGGATGGACAGATTGTCTTTTTTTAGACTACTGCGGATAGAAGGACGGGTAGGCCATACAGGATTAGGTGTTAGAGAGGTGAATAAAGGCACACACCTATATTTATATATATACATACATACATACGTAGGTTGATAGATATGACATTGGTAAACCGGGGGATGCGATAGGTAGACAGAGCTAGATGGGTTGAGATTGGTGCATTTGGCATGTGAGAGAGAGAGAGAGAGATAGCTAGATAGCACGGCAGACAGATGGTTCTAGGCAGCAAGATGGAAAGACGGAAAGATGGAGGGGCAGAGGGAGAGAGATAGATTAGACTAGGATTGGTTCTAGAATGTATGGGTAGGTTGGATTAGATTAACATTAGTTTAGATGAGGGGGACAACTGATTAGATAGATTTGATGAGCTTAGGCAGGTATGCAGGCTAGATCGACAGACGGATAGATTAGATGAACAGATGCGCAAATAGGCGCATGGGTGGGAAAGCAAGTACTTGGATAGATAGAAAACAAATAGGCCAACAAACGCGTAACTAAATGTATGGGCAGCGACACACACACAACAGTAGCTCAGGGCAACTAATCTGCATTCGGCTTCGCGGCCTCTTACCGGTTTTGTTAGGGAACCAGGTTTAAAGGAAAGCCAGGCAAAACCACGCATCAGGCTTCGCCTGTTAAGAGAATTCGATATGGGCTGATGCGGGCCATTTTCTCTCCACTGTTTCAATCACGTTCCCTGCTACGAAGAATGCGCAAGAAGGGGGCTGCCAGTAGGGGCTCAAACAACTTCTGTGTCCATTACGTGAACGGTGGATTTGACTGTGTCGGTATCCTTCCTGCCGCCCACTCGCGCGGCGCATGTTTGCCTCAAGGCCCCGAGTTTGCACGGAGCTTGCGCAGCCAGCTGCTTGCGGGGAGGCCCAGGTGCCGCCAAGCAGCGATTGGACCCCAGCATAGTGCGCAATACCCAGATACCCAGATACCCAGCACGCTGGTAGATTCGGATCCCTTCATGCAACGAAGGGGGACAATTCATATTGCCTCGCTGGGGATTTGAACATGAGCAGAAGCGAAGAACAACAGGACATGGGTCTGCATTTTCTTGTTGAGGGGGGGCTTTACAGGAAAACCGACAGGAAAACTACAATTTTGGGGGCCCCTTAAAAAAAACAAAAACACCCGCATTGTCATGACCCAAAAACAGCCATGTTGGACTGTTGCGCCTAAGCATGGCCGGTGTCCTGTGGGTTTCTGTTTCGAAATCACCCAAGAATGGGGGGAACACCACATATGATCAACCTGCCGAGGAAGGACGGATCTCAATCAAAACGGGCTCTCAAAAAAACACTTTTGGAGGCACTGTTCAGGCCACCACCTGTTCATGCCTGGTTGTGTGGAGCTTTTGGGCAGGGAGGATGGAGGAGATTTTGAAGATTTTTGGGCCATTGCTCAGTTTTCTATCATCTCACTTACACTGGACCTTCCGGCTTCGGCTTGCCAGTTTTCGTGCAGTTTGAATCAAGGTTCCAAAACGCCAACCTTTGATTTGATCTTCAGGCGCGTTGGGCTGGGCCGTTGCTCGGACCCACTCCCGGTCCCGCGCTTGCCGCGCCGCAACGCCTCGTTGGGCTCGGGAGGGTTTTGTGTGCTTGAAGCTGCCAGACGCCATGAGCCAATCACAGGCGCAGAGCCGGAGAGGGTCAGGAATCAGAGCCGGAGAGGGTCAGGAATTCGCCCAACCTAGGTCCCCCACCCAGTCGTGCCCTTCTCTCCCCTTTTTCGGGGGAGGGTTCCCCTACTATAATAGACTACAGAAAAAAAGGTACCCTTATTCTAACCCCTCTACTGGAGGACCTAGCCGAGCTGCACAAATCCAAGCAACCAAACCCTCGGGAACCCAAAGCTACCCAAACGAACGGCGGTTTGTTGGGTGACGTTTTGCGGGAGAGTAGGTGCCGACTCTGGGCAGAACACTGATTGCCCATGATTTGTGCCGAAGTTGATTACTCTGCATACACTGCACTGTTATAATCTGGTGGACTTACGTACAACAAACTTTAGAGCCTCCGGCTCAGTCCGCCGACATTGGCATCCAGCTTGTCTCCTTCTTCCTCTTGCCCGTGTCCCCCTAGTATGCTCTTCTGTCCTCTCTGGTTCCCCCATCCTCCCCGACACGCCGAGCAATGTCGGCGGAGTGTTGAGTGCCACCAAGAGGGTGCTCCAACTGCCGCACGGTCGGCCAAGTATCCGACACGAAGGACATTGGGGGCGACACTTGGAAGGAAGCTGGGGTTGGGGAATTTGCCAGGACATTTGGGGGAAACTGGGGGGGAAATTGGGGGGAAGTCGGATGGAAATTGAAAGGAAAGCGGGAGGGAATTGGTGAGAAAGTAAGGCGCAATTTGCGGGGAAGCATTGGGGGAAATTAGGGGACATTGGGGGGAAATTGGTGCCAATTGTCAAGGAAATCGGAAAACACAGTGTTTTTTTCAATGGTGTCAGCAAAGGAAAAACACCGAACACCGTGTGTCTCAAAGTTTTCCGCAAAAGGCAGCACAAAACCTCAGCCGGCAGAAAGAGGCGGCGGGAGGATTCGAGCCTGGGACCCCCGTTTCTCCACCCGCTCCCCGAAGACTACGTTTAGTGGAACGTCATCAAATTGCCGCGCGGTACGCGGGGGAGGGGGGGGGGGAGGGGGGGGGGGTGGCGACCGAAAAACCATGCGTATTTGACGTGTCCCGGGGGGGTTATCCTCTATCCTCTCTTAGGTATCCAATAGTCCTCTCTTAGGTATCCGACACGCCGAACAATGTCGGCGGATATCATACCCGCAGACCAGAAAGCGGGGAGGGTGGGTCAAATACCTCCACTCGTGCATTTCAGGCTGAATATGGGCCATTATCGGAACAAATGGAGGCCCAGATGCGGGCCCAGATGCTGGTCAGCATCAAAGATGATGGCGCAATTCTCTTCATCTCGGATCACATCGGTCTGAGAGGGCGTGATGAAACTTAAATGGCACAAATGCGCCATGAGGTGGGCTTCGCGGGAAACGCCCAACGAATGGAGGTGGGCTTAGAGGGACACGAACGAGGACATCGCCCCTGAGGTCCTGTATAGAAATGGCGCTGTTTCCGGTTCTAAAGGTACACGTAAGGATGAAACGGGTTCAGCTCTATTTTCCTTTCCTTTGGCCCAAGACGAAGGGGCTCCATTTCCCCAGCCAAACAAAACCCATAGCCCAGGAATCCCTGACACTCTTCCAGGGCCCCCCCCCACCAAAGCAAAAGCAAGCAAACACAAAAGCAACCTGTTGGCTCACCAGGAAGGAATCCTGGGGACCCCCCTCCCCCCCAAAGGCTCTCTCAATAAGATACTATTCTCTGAGACCCAACATGCCAGGCCATTCACTTCTTCCTGTCTTTTCCCTAAGGACTGGCCGTGTATTGGAGATATCTTGAATTGTGGATGTACCTTGTCTTTTTTTATCTTTTTCCTTTCATCTACCTTCATTCTACTTCTTCTTTACAATTATTTTCATCTTTTAAAAATTGGATCAACAATATGAAAAAGAGATGTACCGAAAGGCATTCTATCTACTTCCATCATCTCATCACCATTCCACACTTTATAGTCCTAAAGACACAGGAAATAACCAAAAGAGACTCAACCAAAGAATCTTCACTCATCTACTTCTGGAGCTTCTTTACCTTCATCCTTTCATGTCCTTTGTCTATCACTTCATCTTAGGAATCACATGGAAAGAGAATAGCTCCAGAAGCAATAAATTGACTATAGAATCATCTTTCCATGTAATCTCAGGTATTAATCCATCCAATTGACCGCTAACAATCCCAATCCTTGAAAGTGAGATATTCCTTCCTCATCATCCTCCATTCTTAGTCATTATCCACCTTCATGATTCTAGGATAGATGTCAACTAAGAAAAAGACAAGAGAAGGAAATAATTACATCCTCAATCCACATTCTGTGTTAGCTGATATCTGTCTTTAGGATACACGGTCTCACTTACAAATCTATTCACCTACAAACCCCAAAAATAAAAAACCCACGCCCTCCCTCAAAAAACCCCCCCCCCCCGCCAACCCCACCCCCCCCCCCGCAAAACAGGTCTCCAAGAAGCGGAAGTTCGTGGCGGACGGCGTCTTCAACGCCGAGCTCAACGAGTTCCTGGCCCGGACCTTGGGCGAGGACGGCTACGCCGGCGTGGAGGCGGGCGGAGTTCGGAGCCAAGGAGTTCGCCGAGGGGGGTGGTGAGTTTGTTGTGTGTTAAAAAAACCCGGGGGGTGTTTGGTGTTTTGGATGGTTTCTTTCTTCCGGATCGGTCGCACCCTGCGTGACACAAACAGCAGGAGCCCTTGTATCTCTTATATTTGTTGGTTGAAGTTCAACACCACCTTTTGAGTGGATTTCCACTCTTGTCTCACCCGAGTTCATGGATTATATATTTTGGGGGCGGAAGACCATTGTTGTAACAAAAAGCAAGTTTGGCAGGTGCGCGTCACACCCATCCGCACAGAGATCATCATCCGCGCGACGAGGCCACTGGTGCCGGGGTTGGCAGTTGAACAACGGAATCAGCGAACCATGGAGCAGTTGGTTGGCCCAAGCTGGAAAGTCTGGGAGCTGCATAGATTAGGTCCCCCAGTAGTGCCCTTTCTCACCTACTAAAATAGACTACAGAAAAAATTGGTACCCTTATTCTAACCCCTCTACTGGAGGACCTAGTAGAGAAATTCGCCAAGTCCGCTTAGTTGCGCCGAGACCTGGGTATGTTGCCAGCAAGAGACAGTCCCAATTGCAAATAGGCGCAGCCACCCTTTGAGTTGCTTTTTTAAAGCAAGAGTTGGCCAGTTCTACCGGCTTTACCGTTTAGCACCAGGTTTCTCATGGCACGCTTGTCGAGGCACAACTATGTTCCCGACTGGGTTCATGAGAGCATCCTCAAAATTCGCCTCTGAGATCGTGGCGAATGTAAGCCTCTTCAAGGGGCTCAGCCTTGGGAAGCCATTTTTTTTGGAGGGCCTTTTGTTGCATCCCTGGGCTAATGGTTCTGGATGTGAATTGGCCAGAGCGTCAAATCGGCGGACAAATCAAACACTCAGGCAAAAGGCCCTTAGGCCATTCGCCAGCGAAAACTCCCCCCTGCAAATTGACCAAAGGACACCAAAACGGGTTGCACCCCCAAAATGATATTTTTTACGAAGGATGTTGAACATGGGAGGAATGGTCTGGATTCCCCGTAGACCTTCTGCGAAATTCTGCCAGGTCCTCCGTTTGCTTTGGAAGAGGGAAGCAGTTTTTTACCACCGGGGATGCGCTGCAGCCTACACCTGGCTCCCGGCTGGTTCCTTTTCAGCTTTTGGGAGCTTTTGAGAGGTTGCCATGATCATTAAAGGGCCCTGATTGTTAGAAAGAGGATAGATGGTTGATAGACGTAATGCTTTGGGTTTCCTGGGAATAGGGTGATGTCCAAAGTTGATATACGATGAGGATCCATGACCACCAACCCACCAAGCAAGCAAGCCATGAGCAAACAAGCCAGCCAGCCAGCCAGCCAGCAAGCCAGCAAGCAAGCCACCCAGCCAAGCAGCTCAGCAGCCCAGCAGCCCAACCCATCCAACCCAACCAGCCCAACCAACCCAACCAACCCAACCAACCCAACCAACCCAACCAACCAACCCAACCAACCCAACCAACCCAACCAACCCAACCCTGGCAAGTTTAAGAGCAGAGTCCCAACCAGAAACAGGCACGGTAAGACGCCCGCGTTTTTCTCTGCATGGCGTTGCAGTTTTGGGGGAAAAAGCGCTTTCGTCAAGTGCCAGGCTCCGATTTTGACTTCAGTACAACCAGCCAACCAACCGCTTAGCGAGTTCGGTTTTTTGT